GGTTTTTATTAGCAAGTGTCACAAGGCTGGCATTTATGTGTCTGTTTAGGAAACATCCTGACAAGGCTGATAAATATTAGTGAAGATAATCTCTTAAAAGGACCAGTACTCTAGCCCAAACTTGCATTCAGATATCCATGGGACTGTGGGTAAGTTTGAAACCCCTACTAGGTCTCATCAACTCTGGGTCACCCTGGCCAGTCTCCGAGCCAACAAACGGCTTCCAATCTGCCACAACCAGGGTGTGCTACTGGACTAGTCATCTCTCATGAGAATCACAGAGGCAACCTGTGAACCAGACACAGTGACTTCCCACACAGGGCTTTAGAGGCCCACAAATAGCATGTATGTGAAACTTTCGTGACTGCATGCTGAGCACCAGCCCTACCCTCCTGTCCTGTGGGAAATGGACAGCACATCGGGTCCCCAGGACAGTGCTCAGAGACTGTTAGGGAGATAGTATGTCTTACCAGATCAGCAAATCTAGTGAGTGGTGGAGGTGAGAGACTCTTGTGGAGGCAGGCTCCAAAGCACATGCTCTTTCCACCATGCTTGTCGAGAGGTGGCCCAGGATCCTGTGAGGTAGACCACAGAGGAGACAGAGCTGGGAAGTGAAGATGACAGGGTTTACTATGGCACCTGATCCTGAGGGAACATGAGGGTCTCTAGGGGCTGATGCCTTCTTTCCTTCATTTTTTTTTTTTCTTACGTGGCCATCTTCATGCTGTGATTATTCACAGAGTGCTGTGCAGTATGGTTGATGTGCTCTTTGGAGCACATGTCCTACTTTTTACAAAGGTTACAGAGAAAAGAATTTGTGTAGCATCCAGTTACTGAGTCCTAATGTATTTTAAAGTTTACACTCAACTATGTAGCTCTCATTTGCATCTATGCAAATGATATCTGGTAAGAATCTAAAGACATTCAGGTAAAATTCCAAAGTTCCTCAAATCCAATGACAGTTAACTAACTGTCATTCAGCCAGTCAGTCAGTGGCAGAGCCAGACCTGGGTCTTGGGCCTGTGCCCTCCCGATGTCCATGCCTGTGGCTGGCTTCTGACCTGGCTAAGGAGATGGGAGGGCGAGACTCACAGCAGCAATGTTTTGGAGGCAGAGAAGCTGCTGTGGTTTAGGCTTGAGTAAGGACATTGAAGAGTCAGAGTTCTGGGAGCTTGAATGTGAAACTGACGGGGACAAAGAAGAGCAGTGAGGTCACCTGACACATTTGCACTTTGACACATTTGCACTTTGAGATGACTTCCCCATCTAAGGTCACAGTAAAGACTGGCTCACCGGAAAAGAGTCCCCACTCACAAAGCACTCTTAGAGTTTTCCATTTATCCTAACAAACACTTTTATCCCGGCACCTCAGTACTCAATGCTTCCCCAACTCTGGGACACACCAGCCATTTCCGTCAGCCTTGTCACAGCCTTGGCGGTCAAACATCAAGATATTTAGTCACAACAAAGAATCTGATTCCACCCTTGGAAGGAGGCTGACCTGACTCATTACTTCACTGTGAGCTTGATGATGATGACCATGCATGCGAGGATCTCCCAGTTTCTCTCTTAGCACCCTCTCAGTCTACATCCTTAGTAGAGAATCACAAGTGGGTACACCACAGCTGAAGTGCTAATTAATTCTCTGTGACTCCTGCTCCGCTAACTGACACTGGCCTTAAAGACCCAATAACCTATTGTCTCCAGGCAGAAAGGTGGAGTCATATCAGACCACCTATTGAACACTTGCTCTGTGACCCATAATGACCAGAGATAAGTATGTATGAGACTGTAGGTCACAGTCAGAGTCATTAATGCATATTAATGTCACACTGAGTTCCAGGTTCAATTCAAGGGTAAATAAATCCAATGTGTTGGCAGTGGATAGTAGGCTCATATGTTATAAGTTATCAAGCCTTTGTGGAGACAGTGTCTAAACACAAGGGAAGGCCTTTTGTGTTATTCAGGTCAGTGGGCTGGGACTATGTACAGAGGTTCTACATATCCCAGTATGGAGTGGAGTCAGCAACACAGCCCGTGGGCCAGCTATGTGGGTTGTGGGTTGGCCATGCTTCCTCCACAGTACAGCAACTTAGTGGAGTACTGACCCCAGAAACTGCTTCATGAAACTTGTCACAGTGCCATCTGGTCTTTCTGAAATCTTATTGGTTGCTGGTATTCTTCATGTACACTTGGCCTGTGGGAATGACAGTCAGGCCAAACCCATATCATAGCAAAGCCAGATTGTCCAATTGAGGACTGTGTGTGTTGTGGACAGTGATCTCTTCTCAGGTTCTCAGACAGAGCAGATCAGTCGTAAGTACTGGCTAGTAGGAGGAAGAAAATTCCATATAACAAATCCTATTCCCATTAATTCTGTTAGAAAATCAAGCATATGTTCCTTCGGAAAACCAGCCCTAATAGACTGAATTGAAAATGATTGAGGACGTGATTAAGATGTCATTTGTTTGTATGTTCCTTTACAGTACTGGGAGCACAATTTGAAAGGATCACAATATCAACTACATTTTCAGATGATACTACAGGTAATCCCTCCATCAAGGGTTTAGATGAAAGTCCTCAAAGCCTCTCCCAGGAGGAGAGACTGAGTAAGCATTGAGGAGCATGGACTTTACAAGGAGACTGGAGGACAAGGGCCCCAGAAGGCAGGGACAGTGCACACCAGACACGAGCTCTAGCTACTGCATAATTTTGCAGTGGGCCATCCCTAGACACGCTTAAGCACTTCCGTGAATCTCAAGTGAATTGAATGATGAGTCACTTAAGATGGTGACAGCTTTTACAAAGCAGTGATCACATTTCACTACTCCTGCTTCCATGGAAGAAGGCAAAGAATAAGAATAAGGTCTTATGTTGGGCAAGACTGATAGGGTGAGGGAATGGACGCCAGGGAGTGGGGTCTGATGTCTGTAGTGAGCAGAAGGCTTATGCCTCAGAAGCATTGCTCCCTCAATGTTGCTCCATCAGCTTGCAGACCGATTAGCTACAATGCAGTTTTGCAGTAGTCCATGGATGGAGTCCCAACTTGCAAGGCTCTGCCTCTGGCCCACTCTCATCTCTAAGACCCATGGGGCCATGGCTCCCACTGGAGCCTTTGTTCACATTGCAGTCTCCACCTAGAACACCTAGTCCCATTGTTTTTACCTGATTGTCCTTTTCCATCTCAATGCAGCCCCCCAAGCACTTCCTCTAGACACCTTTCTTGTGGTCCATCCTACCAACCGCCCTTCCTAGTCCCAGTTACCTGCAAGGATTGTCCATCTGACTCCCTCACTAGACTTCAATCTCCTGTGAAGGCACAAACTAATGCCTGTCTGTAGGGGTCATTCCAGCCATGTCTATGGAATGCATGGAACTTTAGAACTTAGGGTGATGATTAAATGACACTGACACCTTGCTGTAGCCAGCTTTGAGGACTGGGAGCATTCATTCGTGCTTTAGAAGTGGATGATCATAGTGGGACACTTGTCCCTTTCTAGGTACTAAAGGAGCACTAAACTTGACAAGCACCCAAACTGTTTATTCTCTCAGCCCCGTTCACTAATGGTCTTTCTCAAAAGAGTAGAACTGGATTTCATGTTTCTTTCCCAGGACCCAGCCTTTAGGATGAGTGAAGGAGGTTTGGCATTCAATTAAGCTACCATGTCATCTAAGTGAGACACAAATGACCTTATCCCACAGTGAACTGTGCCTAGCTAGCTATGGGAACATGGCAAACTTGAGGTGGGCCAGAACCTTTTTGCTCTCTGATGTAGGGGTTGACTGCTGGAAGGTGAGAAAGAGGAGCTTCTGGGGTTGAAGATGCCATGGCAGGAAGGTTCAGGATTACAAATGACTTATACATTACCTGGAACATAACCCATACTTCATTAATAGAAATGAATAAGGGGTAGAAATTATAGCTCCTGTACACAACACTAAGTGATTGAAAATCAAGATGGATGAGGTAAAACCCAGCACCTGCAGTAAACTCTGTGGTGGTTAGCCCAGCTCTGTAGATTATGAGGCTGTAACCAGAGCAATTTGCTCACATGGCAACAGATGCTTTTATCACAAACATTGTCCCAAAGCCAAGAGCAGCCCCTCAAAGGTCTGACTCGTTAACACAAATGTAAAGAGGCATAAGAATGGCACACCCTTATCACACTCCTTGAACACATGCGTGGAATGTCGCTTACATAATTGCAGGCTGCAGTTGGGCTGCATGAAATAAAAGCCCACAGAAACTGCTAAGTTCCTTCCTTTTTTTAAGCTTTTCTATTTTATATTGGAGACAATGCTCACAGCATGAGTAATACCCATCAGTTATCAGTAATTTAGCAGATTGTGCCAGTGTTGACATTTGTTCTTGGCTTAATTGTGTGTGAGTGTATGTTTTAAACAATGATGCAGCTGTCCCCATTCCTGGCCATTACAATATAAAAATGGTGTTCACTGAATCTGGCACTGTAATCACTTGGCCACGTGTTTACTCTTTTGTTTGTAAGTCCTTCTGAGTGTTTGCTGCAATTCTACAATCAGAGAATAAATTTGGCCTAAGGTAGAGTCTGACTTACATTGCTAGTAGCATCAAAGATTTCAAACTTGTTCATTTCATGACCTTAGTTCTCTGATTCCACTAGACTTGCAAGACATTTGTGGGTGAGTTAAATATAACTCTTTGGTTTGATCTGAAGAAATCAGATTTCACATGCCATTGGGCTAGATGAGCAGTGTCAGCAGAGATGTACTAGATTATTGCTGGCCATTTGCAGAGTATCAAGTGATGGAGATCCACTCCATAGGTGTTGCCACAACATCCCAACTGTACCCAACACCTGCATCAATCTTATTCCCTGCAAATCCATGCAAGTTACAGAGAGTAAGGACTTCTGGAGCTGCTACTGTCACTCAATAATTTTGGTGCTCTTTTTTCCTTATTAGGTTAGAAGGTTAATGCTCATGTCACCTCATTTGGTGATGGCACGACAAAACAAATATCTATTTAAAAACAATGTATTCTTTTGGAAAACCATTTGGCAGTATTCACTAAAGCTGAGCATACATACACTGTCTGACTGAAAAATTCTCTTCCAAATACAGATGCCCAATAGATATGCATGCATCCATCCATCAAAGAGCAGTCTTTGGAAGCTTCATGGCAACAGCTGTGAGATGTCCAGCAACAGTAGAAATGATAGTGCTGGACATGTAGTAGTATGGTGGTATAATGCTTGCCTAGCATGCATAAATCACTGGGTTCAGTCTGAGGCCCTAAAAACAAAGCAAAAAGAAAGATAAACAGGTGTGCTACAGTACTATACTACAGAAAGATTGCATGAACTCCAACTCACACTAGATACCCATTTTGTCCTGTTGTGAAAGGACCACATATTTAGTATTATGAGGAGCACACAGATGAGCTTCAAGTTGTGCAGCTGGAGGTCTCTTTTTTGATGAGTTTCAAGGTCAGGGCAGCTGGAGCCCAGGACCCTCTTCGAAGCCTCTTCATGTTGTTGGAAGAATTCAGTCTTTTTTTGTGTGGTTGTTGGCTATTGGCCAGCAGCCAGTCTCTGCTCCGAGAGGGCATTTTAGTGCTTTGCCAAGAGGTCTCCTCTATCTTCAAAGTCATCAGTTGAGTGCTTTCTCAAATCAATCCCTCGAATGATTCAAATCACCTCCATAGAAGAGCCATAGAAAGCAACTTACTGATCTCAAACCAGCTGACTTCAGGCTGATAACATATGAAAACCCTCTGCCCAGCAGCACCTGTGTTAGCATTTGGCTGAATGACAGGTAAAGGTGTGTGTACAAGAGGGTGTACATACACTTACATACACTCATACATAGACAATGACATGGATGGATTTCACAACTGACAGCCACAGAAGCCAGATATAAAAACAATATTCCATTTACAGAAACTGCATGAACAGGAAATACATTAATTTGGCATTAGGAGTCAGAGCTGGCTCTGTGTGACCTGATGCCTAGAGTTTGATCCTTGGAACACCTGAGTGCACAGTAGCCATAATGGAGCTTGAGGAGATCCTGGTGGTAGGACTTCTCTGGTTTGTAGTCTGGTTACATCACTGTGCTCAGCTTATGAAAATTCAGTGAGCTATACATTGATGGTTCATGCTGTTTTGATAAATGTATTATACTTCAATGAAAAGGTTCTTGGGAATCACTTGGATTCATTACTGTAAAATGGATTTGTTTTGTTTCTCCAGGGAAGTTTGCATGCAAAAGCAATTCTCAGAATGGGGAGGGAGGATGAGAAAGGAAACAAGGTGCCAGGGCTACAGGGAGGGCTAGCCACCCTATTTTGTATGTTCAACCTCCATATGGTTGAACAGTGACAGATCTGAAAACTGAACTAGTTTCCCAGAACTAAAGTAACCCGACTCTCTGAATGTTTGTCCATCCTGCCCTATTGGTCCCAGTAATGTGCCGAAGAGATGCTTATCTGTCGCCTAGCATTCTTTAATGCATCGCTCCCTGGTTACACATGCAGAGGACCAGCCATGTGCCAAAAATGTTAACTTTTTAATCCTTCTTTCCCTTCCCTCCTCTGCTCTCTAACTACACCAGTTTAGAAGCAGACAGTGGACTCTGGTTTCTAGACTAGAGATCCCCTCCATAGCTGAATAGGAAGCTTATATTGTCATCAAGTGACCCATTCTGTGTCTGTCCTCTCTAACCTTTCATGAGGATGACATAAAGTAACCAGCTGGACTGTCGGTAGTAACGAGGAGGAAATCCCTGCTCTGTCAGCTTGGAACTTGGGTGTGGAGGACCCAGTGGGAAGTGGTATGCAGGGACCCCTGTTAAAAAGTTTGGAGACAGCTGAGCATACTATGGTGGCACACACCTTAACCCCAGCATTGAAAATGATCACAAGTTGGAGGCTAGCCTGGGCTACAGAACAAAAGCCTGTGAAAAGAGAAAGCAAGAATTGAAGAAAGCAGGAGAGAAGCACTAAGTCAGTGCTGTTGTTGGGGTACACTGATAGGCCCCCATTTCCAGCATGCACAGGAAATCTGAAGTTCAAGGATTCCTTGCTAGGCAAACCCCGCTAGGTAACTTGCACTTGGCCCATTCAACTGTAGACCGTGATAGAAGATAGAAGGCGAAAATTCATTCGCATATGTGAGAGCGATTATAGGTTGAGGTGTAAAACATCAACGGATTGGATGCTAATCAGACAAGGATGAGCCCTCCAGATTTCTAGATTATCCCACTAATTGGCTAAAAAGCCTATGGCAGATAGGTGCAGAGGACAGAAAATTACACACATTCTTTAAAGATAATACTCAGTATTTCAGTCCTGTGAATGAACACAAATTGCAATTATTGCTGGCTCCCTAATCATAGAAGCTTAGTATGCATTCCTTGGTCTTTCTGGTCAAAAAGGAAATTGCTAAATGCACAGGCTGAAGGAGTTGGAGTCTAGGTATTTCTCCCCAAAATTCTTTTTCTTGCTGCGATTTGAGTTTTTGTCAAATTTCGAACGCAAAGCAGGAACCTCAGGAGTGTTTAGAAGGTCCTGGGAAGGGCGCCCTAGCATACAGAACGAGTTGAGTAGTGGATGCTCACAGCACGTGACTGACTCCCAAGCCTATGCCGTGTTGGGATGGAAGGGCTGTCGCGAGCCTGGAACCCGTTAGGGGTGGTATTCTTCGGGGGTAAGGATTTCTGTGATACCACCGCTTTCCCGTTGCATCTTTGGAATAATTTTCCCCAGCTTACCCTGAAGCACGGAGTGCTCACTGTTGGACCTAGTGACTTCTTAAAGCTTTGGGGAACCGTAGTACCCGAAGGTGACCGGCTGCTGACCTCCGGTCTATGAATAGTTCCAAGGATGAGACAAAGTCCCAGTGTCTGGGTGACAACAGGGTTATTGACGAAAGGCCGCGAGCTGCAGATGGTGAGAGGGTAGAGGCCCCTGGCGGGCGGGGCGCGGGGCGGCCGGTAGACCCCGACTTTCTGCTCAGCAGGAGTCGGGAGTCGAGGCCCTAGGGACAGCCTCTCAGGCAATTAGCATGCAGGGGCAGCGCGCGCCGTCCTTGAAGGGCTGCCCAGCTGACCTTGCTCCGCTTTCACCGCGGATTCTCCAACAGCGCGCGCGGCCGCGGCCGCCGCGGTGACTCAGTGCCCTACGCGCCGCATGCAAATGCTCGTCTCCCGACGAGGCTGGCTCTGCAGTCTGCTCTTGTCCCCGCGCTCCTCCGAACCCCACGATTCCAGCCCGGCCCTTTCCGCCGCTCCCTTCCCCCTCCCCACAGCCCCGCGTCCTCAGGTTGCTTCGCCCACCTCGCCTCCGCAGCACCGAAGGGCAACCTTCGCACTCCCTGGCTGCGGGCGCGGGGATCAGATGCGCTGTCCCCGGGCCGGCCCCAAGCGTCCGGCGCCCCGGATCCCGAGCCAGCACGGAGGGGGCGGTGCGCCGCGCAGAGTCTCAGCCCCGCCTGGCCGGCCCTGCTCCTTATTGGTCGTCACCTCGGCGGGAGGGCGACCCGGCTCGCGCACCTGCCGTCGCCCCTCCACGGGCAGATCGGCGGCTGCGGGACACCGGCGCCCAGAGACAGCAGCACGCGAGGGCAGGCCTGGGGCTCGGCGGATCTCCTCGCGGCTGGCCCTGTCCTTTCGCCACCGCGGCTCCAGTTGCGCCCGCGGGAAACTTTACCCCGCGAAGTCCTCCGTCCTCCTGGCCACACCGTGACAGTTCACCTAACGCCCCCCGGGGCCCCGCACAGCGCGCGAGATTGCCACCCCGCCCCGCACGGTGCGTCCGCAGCGCCGGGCCGCCAAGATGCGCTACGCAGACCCCTCGGCCAACCGGGATTTATTGGGGAACCGAACTTTGCTCTTCATTTTTATCTGCGCCTTCGCCTTGGTGACCTTGCTGCAGCAGATTCTGTATAGCAGGAGCTACATCAAGAGGTAAGAAAGTCTGAGGGGTAGAATACACCCAGCCTAAAGGTAGCCAAAAGGCCAGCCGTATCGTTCCCCGAGCAGGTGACAGGAGGTCTGCCCTTAGCCGGAGTACCTCCATGGTGTGCCTTATGGCATCTCTGCTGCCAGCCAGAGGACAGCACCAGCTGTGTGCCTGTCGTGGTGGGGTTATGGGGACGTGTGTGTGTGTGTGTGTGTGTGTGTGTGTGTGTGTGAACTTTGTTCTGTTGTGAACGTGGGCAGCACCTTGGAATGCCAAGCAGCTAAGCTGACCATAAATGCATGTGCATGCCCAGAGCTGCGCTGTTCCCCAAACCTACATTTCCCTGGTCATTTGGCTGCAACCGGAGGGTCAAAGACTTCTTTTTCTTCTTCTTAGTTTGTCAAGTCATAAAATTTTGTAGGGGACCTTGGAGGTAAAGGCTTCTTTCTCCCCAGGAACCCTGCATTAGGTGGGGTGGTAGTGGTTGGTCTGTGGTCATGCACAGGGACAGTGAATTCTAGATCTGTGAGACAAGCTGATGACCTCCCAAGCAGAGGGTTCTTTCGCATCCTTTGCACCGAAGGTCAGAGCGGCCGCAGAGGCTGGGCTCTCTCACCCCTTCTCCATCCACAGCCAAACTCCTTGAAGAGAAACGGCAGAAGATGTCACTCAAAATTCAGCAACAGTCTCAGTCTCAGTGTGGGGAAGATACACCGACATGCCAGGTTCCCGTGGCTCTGCTGCCTGGTGGAGCCTGAGCTGCTGCCGCCTACCTGCCAGATTGGAGGTGGGAGCTGTGCTCTGGACGCTCCCATGCTAAATTCTCTGGTGGAAGGAGCCCCTCCCTCACCACTAGTGCCTGTCTAACTCACTGCCTTCCGTTCAAATGGAGAGGAATGAAAATGTCTAGGCAAACACACGTCCCATCTCAGAAGTGCCCCGGTAGTTAAATGCTGTTCTCTTCTCAATCCTGGGGTCTGTGTTGGTCACATATGCTCCCAGTCTGGGCTGCCCAAAGAGTGGGAGGGTGAGGGTTGCTGCTAGTGATCCGCTCCCAGTGGGAGAGCTAAGCAGTCTGGCTGTCCTTCCTTGTAACTCCCTTGAACTGGGGGATATGTGGCCCCTTGCCTCATACATTCATTTCCAGCCACCCACTGCTCCAGACTTCCCCAGACAACTTTCTCCCCTAGTTGGCACCAGCTCACGTACTCTGTGTGGCACTGGAGTCTCTAAAAACAATTTCTAGTCTCCTGACTTGCTGGATTTGGTCGGGCCCACTAAGATGGTTCCTGAACTGTCTGCTGTGCAGCCTTGCTGGATTTTGGCACCTGCTTCTCAGTGGGGCAGCTCTTCGTTTCTGCCCCCTTGCTGGTAACTATCCAGAATTGTTGGGGCCGTAGAGCTTCCAGTGGGACGGCAAAGGGACATCAGGTCAGAGTAGTTACCAATCACACTATTGCCCAGTTGTTCTGGCAAACCCTGCCTGAGTTTGGATGGATGGACTGATTGCCCAGAGCCTAGCAGGTGTATTGGTTACTTCCCATTCTCCATCTCTCAGGGACTCTGATCGCCAAATAGCGGGTAAAATCTTGCAGGCCTCCCTCCAGGAATTCTACTTAATGCAACCGAACAGTCAAGACTGGTATATGTTCCATCCTTGAAGGGAACCAAGGATGGGATGCTATAAAGAAGCGGATGGTGCAGTGCCAGTGCTCAGTGGGATTAAGTCTATCTGGGGAAAGAAATGGCCACAAATGAGATAAGAAGTGCGTGGCTGAGAAGAATGTCTGATGGGCTGCAGAAGCTGGGGAAGCCTGCATGGGGGAGGTGGAGCTCTCATGGGCCTTGAAAGCAGGTAAGATCTGGATAGAGGAAAGGACATGTACCAGCATAGGCTCCAGGCATGGCGCTGTCCCCTCCCATCTCTCCCTCACCTGCACTGTCATACTTGGCTCCACTTCTGGTCTGTCATCAGGCTTCCCTGATCCTGTGTCTCGTGACTGACCCATTTGCTTATGTGTCCTATTTTGTTACACTTTATAGTTGCTATGAGTTGGCTCCAGGGGAGTGTTGTCTGTGTCTATCCGGAAACAGCAAAGGCCTGCAATGGAGCTCCCTGAGAAGGCCCTGAGATGCAGATTCCCGGGCCCTTGGATTGAACTCCCTTCTAGGTTGTCATCTGGAAACCTGCCTCTCTAGCAGACCCCACGAGGGACTAAAAGCAAGCCCCACTTGATGCTACCGGCCAGTAGGTCTCTGTCAGGTCAATTTTGCCTTCAGACATTAGAGTAGCTCCTTCTTTGGTTGTCACAGGGGCAGAGGAGATGCTCCTGTCATTGAGGATGAAGCCAAGGGAGATGTCTGAAAAATCCTCAAGGCCCAAGTTGCCTGCCACAAACAACCAAGACATCTGAGCCCCAAATGTCAGTGGTGCTGAGGCTGAAACTGCACTGTGTCAGAATCTGTGAGGTGCGGATTACAGTTTGCTTTAGGATGCACAGATCACATATGTGTTTGGTCATAAGAAGTCATTAGTAAGTATGGATAATAAACAAAGGATTGAAGATAGGAGTAGGTGTGCATGTGTGTGTGTGTGTGTGTGTGCATGTGCGTGCGTGCGTGCGTGCGTGCGTGGGTGTATACTTAGGTGTAGAGACACAGTGAAAAGATGGATCCCATGATGTAGCGGGGGCATATTGGGACATGTCAGATAGCAGTGGTTAATGGCTTCAGTGAAATGCTCTGAAGGTTGAGGACAGACTGAGCTTGGGTCATGGGTCATGGGGAGCCACATGTGGTCCTTGAGTAGGGCAGTCACTTGATAAAAGTGCCTGGAAAGGAAGGTTATCTGGGTGTTGTATGGGAAGGCTTGGAGAAGGAGACACAGCCACTCAAGGGTGAGGACACAGCTCAGGGGACTCTGAAGACCATGCTAGAGGCACAAGGATGGCAAGCTCATCTAGTGCTGTGAAGTTGTTACAGAAGGAAGTAGGTGATGTGGGCTGACGTGTTTTATTTATTTGTCTATTTATTAATGTTGAACCCTCAGCCTTTCCCTGGGATGTGCAATGGAACCTTTTGACAAGGTCCATCATAAGCCACTAAAATTCTAGGGACGAACCTGGGTGGGAGACAAAGGGAGCAGTGTGGTGGTCTCGTGAGTGCCATCTCTGTGGAGCAGAAGGCACACACCATGGGTTGGGAGGAAATCACCAGAAGGAGCAAAATTGTGGTGTGTTTGCCTTCCATGTCTGCTTCAGACTTACCATACACTGAGTACTTACTATATACTGAGTACTTGCTGTACACTGAGTACTTGTTATACACTGAGTATTTACTATACACTGAGTACTTGTTATACACTGAGTATTTACTATACACTGAGTACTTGGTGTACACGGAATACTTGCTGTACACTGAGTACTTCCTGTACACTGAGTACTTCCTGTACATTGAGTACTTCCTGTACATTGAGTACTTCCTGTACACTGAGTACTTGCTGTACACTGAGTCCTTGCTATACATTGAGTCCTTGCTATACACTGAGTACTTCCTGTACACCGAGTACTTGCTGAATTCTTGCTGTACACTGAGTACCACTGGAAGTGCTGAGGACAGTGTGTGCAAGGCCCCAGGTGTGGAGAAAGGGAGTAACTCATGGGCTCTGAGGAAGACAGAAGGGCTTGCACGGAGGCATGGACAAGGGGCCCTAAGGGCGAGGAGGGAGCTGCTTCAGGAAAGGGTTTATTTGGCTTACAGAGGACATTGGAAGCAGTCTTGAAGAAAGAGGAATGATCCTTGGGCACAGGTGGAGGTGGGAGGGAGGTTCAGAAACCCAGCAAAGTGAGCAAAGGGTGAGGAAGAGCAGGGAGACTGAGCAGTCCACGCAGAGCAGAGCTAAGCTGCATTGTCCAGCAGGGGGACAGACAGAGTGTGGAGAACAAAGTCGGGGTGAGTGTGAGAAGGAGTGTGTCCGAGAATGGAGAATTGGGAGTTTAAGTTTGTATTTGCTTGGACATGGAAGGAAGTCTGTCTGGAGCAAGCCAGCAACTCTTTGGAAAGGAACTCTGAAATGACCAAGGGGAAGAGCTAGGCTATCAATGAGGGTTTTAGAGTCGCTCGCCATCCAATCAGCATGTTCTCAACGTCTATGGTTGTGATGTGTAGTAAGAAAATATGTTCTCCTTGGGGACAGCAAACATTCTGTGAAGGAATAGTTGGATTTACTATGAGAAATGTGCTCTGATACTTTTTACTCAATTTCTTTAAAACAAAACTTTGTAGGGGAGCTGGAGAGATGGTTTCAGCAGCCGCTTGCAGAGGACCTGGGTTTAGTTCCCAGCACTAACATGATGGCCCACAACCATCTGTAGTTCCAGTTCCAGAGGACCAAACAAGCTCTCTTGGCCTCTGTGGGCACTGCACAAACATGGTACACTTTACACACACACAGGCAAACACATACACATAAAACGAAAATAATAAAAAGAGTCTCTAGAAGAACTTTCTAGGGATAGGGATGTAGCTCAACAGTAATGGTGTCTTACATATCATTCATGAGGCCCTGGATCCAATCTCCAACACCCACTTTTCCATTTTATTAAATGTATATGTAATGGAATCAGAGAGATACACCTTTAATCCCAGAAAATTCCAGGCCAGCTGGGATTACAGTTATATTCTCTCTCTCTCTCTCTCTCTCTCTCTCTCTCTCTCTCTCTCTCTCTCTCTCTCTCTCTCTCTCTCTGTAAATAACTATTATTTGGCCTTAAGAAGAAGAAGGTTCTAACACAGACTGCAACATGGATGAACCTTGAAACTATTATGCTTAATGAAATGAGACAGACAGAAGAGTCAGGTGCTGTATGACTCCACTTTGGTGAGGTATTTAGAATTGTCAAACACAGACAGGAAGTAGAAAGGTGGTTGCTGGATGCTTTGAGGAGAATGAGATATTAGTCATCATTTAATAGGCAAAAAATTTCTGTTGGGGAAGAAGAAAAAA